GAGTTGTCTGGTCTGGAGGCAAATTCAGACGTTGCAGAGTACTGGAATAATAATAGTGCTTTGTCTTGTGCTGTTTTGGCTATTCACATGGCGGAATAATTGCTAAGCGATTTGTCTTGATCAACATTTTAATTATGTCTCGCAGGGCAGGAAAAATCTTACTTATTTCCCTTTTATTAAAACCAACATAGCTTACACACATAAACATCATCTCTGACTTGTGCAAAGTGTCAATGCACAATTCTCCCCTGTCATGATCATGTTTTGTTTACTTGATCATGATCAGAAACGCAAACAGGAGGTCACTGAAGAAAAGAAGGCGGCGGCAGACAAAGAAAAATGTCTTGTAGTGTAAAGCATGGGGATGAAGGACAGGGGGGGGAACTCCCTCTGGACCCAAATGAGACAGTGTAATGAGTTGCCAGGGTTTGATACAGTTTTCCCAATCTTACTAATGCATTCTGCTGTAGACATTTTCCCAGCTTGCCTCCCCACTTCCTTCTCCCCTCTCCCGGCCTCGTCTCCGTCTCCCTCTCTCTCTGTTCCAGCCTATCAGACATGACAGTACCAGCTGGCTGCTGGCAAACTCACAGCCAGAGGATATAAGCTGTGTGTGTGTGAGTGTGTGTGTGTGTGTGTGGGTGGGTGAGGGTGTCAACATATCGGTCTTTGAAGGTGCGTGTCCATATTTCTGATAGGTGTGTGTGTGTGTGGTTGCATGTGAGGTGCATTATATATGAGTTTGTGCGTAATGCGTCAAAAGTTGAACATGTTGATTTAATGTCACGGAATCTGAGCCTGAGTGATGTGAGTCACAGGTGTGTTACGGTTACTTGGGGTGGGGTTAAGAGCAATATTTAATTCCTATAAAGATAGTTGTCAACACTTGCTTGAAGCAGCTGTGTACTCTTGTGGGTGCTTGGCATTTGCTTTTCTTTCTGACTCACTGAGCACATTAAAAGCCACTTATTTGCCTTCCTAGCTGTGTGGATGTGTGCCTGTAGAGATGTGTACCCTTGCTTTTGTACCTCTGTACAAGTCTGGGTAATTTATAGAAAAGTCTAATGAAAAAAAGTGTGAGAGACCACCTATTTCTTTGACACACACAAAGAAAATCAAACACCAGCCCCCCCCCCACTTTCACAGGGCTTCAGGAAACATTTAAAGCTTATTGGAAACATTCGCGATGAACAGCAGATGTGTCTGTGATTTTGGCACTGTTCAACATGTTCAACCCCGACCCCGACCGCCACTGCCCCTCCTCACCTTTCTGCCGCTGCCCCCTTTCTCTGCCCCCCCATCGATTAAGAACACATATTCCTTTCCTTCCATCTGTCCAACCATACCTCCTGTTGCCTTAGAAAGTTTTGCCCTAGATTTAAAGTCGGAGAAAAACATCCCAGCTGGGGGACACACTCATTTCCCCACCCCAAATCCCAACTAAAGTGTGTATTTTTAGATCTTCAGTAAAGCAGATTTAAACATCCTTTTTAGCTTTACACTGCTCAGAAATGTTGCTTTATATTTGTGCTGTCCTTTTACTTTTGCCTCCATTTGTCTTCCTGAAATCTTTCTTTTCCATCTTGATTTTGTACAGTAAATAAGATTAAAATCACAAATCCACAAAATAAAAAGCTCCTAATAATAATAACTGCAAAGGGCAAGGTGCTGGTGACCTTTAAATAATCCTGTTACGCTGTTATCAGTCAACATTTGGCACTAAATCTCCAAACAGGGTCAGACAGGGGTTAAGGTAATGCTCCAATAAAAGTCATGGTTGCAGCTTAGCAGCTCGGCTAGACGTTAAGTAAGAGCCCTAATTTGAAAGGACCACAATGGAACTTGATGTAAACCAACAGGACCCTGTGGGCCTGTCCAGACGAGGGCCTAAACCAGCTCTGGACTAGTTGAAACGGGCCAGAGCTGATGACAGACAGGCAGACCAGAACTGACGAGAACAGGGGCTCACATGTTACACGCTGTTTGTTCTGTACAGACTCCAAAAATGTGTGAGACGCGGAGGGACAGGGAGAGATTTAGACAGTGTTGGAAAGGGAAAGGGAGCAGAGGAGAGATGGGAAAAGAGTAGGAGTTGGGATGAGGGAATGAGAGGAGGTGAGAGGCAGAGAGGAAGTGGGTCGACAGTGAGTAAGGGGAGTTGGGAGAAGGTGGAGGAAAGGGTGGGAGAGGAAAGAGCACTGTGGGAGGACACTTTAACATATTCATAAGAAAAGTTTGAGTTTTTGTTTCAGGTAGGTTTTACGGTAAGGGGGTTCTTTCTGCTTTAAGTCCTGTCTTAGAAATGTCACTTCTCTTCCAGGAAAGGAAGGAGGAGGAAATAGATATGTGTGTGTATGTGTGTGTGGAGGCCCCAGAGGTAGGAGGAGTATAGCGAGAACTCACCTCAGGCACAGTGACATGGAAGGATGAAAAAAGACAGAAAAGGGAAAGAGGAAGTTATGGAGTGAAAAGAAGTCTCAGGAAGCCGAGCTAATGTAGTGCGAAGTGAAATATCTCATTCTGGAAAGAGCGAAGGGATAAGAGAGGGGTAGAATAAAATAAAGGCTACAGTAGGTGTGGATGTGTGTTGAAGAGACAGAAAACGAGAGCAAGAATAGGGCATGGGGCGAGTGTATATAGCTCTAGGTCAGTTGGCAGTTACCATGGTGGCTTTCATTGCGAGGTGTTGATTCTGTTGCCGAGCCCTTGAGCCACAAACGTTTAACCTCAACAACAGCCAAGAACAATGGGTAACAGCCGCATAAACGGATAACATGTGAGGTGAAATACAACATCTACCGCCTAAGAAAATGACATCTGGAGCTGGAAAACTGAATCAAGAATTGAGGCTTGGATAAGGTGCAGAGGGGTGAGGGCGAACAGGGCAGGGTGCAGGTGAGCCCTTGAGGGGGAGGGGTAAAAGGTAGGATACGGTGGTGCATTGTGGTTAAAGTGCATCCCTTTATAAATCCCTAGGTGCACAATCCGTTGACCGAGGGGCCTCTTAGGTTCCCAACCAGTTCCCCCAGGGACTCGTTTAACTGCGTTGCAAGGCCTTTTTTTTCATGAATCACCTGTAATATGTATCACTGCTCATTACTGACAAGACTGACTGTGATGTGGTGCTGGGGGGTCCCAGGAGGGGGCAGTGACTCCTGTGGCGAGGGTTAAGATCTCTGAAGCTGCACACATCGACTCATCACCGCTAACATGTACACACAGCCTGTCGGCGCGGCCTTGACGTCATTAACCAATACGTGTGTGCAAGGGTGTGCGTTTCTTTAAAGCGTCCCTGTGATGCGATTTCACGTTCACTGTAGGCACAGTTTGACATACGCTGTTTTAATGTTTCTCTTCTCAGTCGAGTTGTCCAATAATTAAAAGATTTGTGTCTTATTCCCAAAGAAGTCTGATAACTAAGTGTCTGCGAGGGGAATGTGTGTGTGTTTGCAAAAGAGACGGAGAGCGAGAGTGGCAGCGAGCAGAGTGCTCAGTGTGTGTTTGTGAGTTCTGCTGTGAATGTGTTCCAGATAGTGCTGCTGATGGTTATCTTTCGGAGAGAGCTCTATTGATTTGGCTGGGGTAAATAATTGGTTGGGTCTACAAGCTGTCATGTTCGGCCTGATTGCTGAGCATTGGTGGTCTCGAGCAGTTATCTTCCTCCATATCCCTCTCTGATCCTTCTCGAGCCTCCTTAGTCTATCTCTACATTTATTGATTAGGACCCTATATGACCATTCTCCATCCTTCAATTTGGGCAATAATCCTTGTCCCGGAGCTGTATGTTACAAGTTATCTGCTCTCCACTCCTTGTTCTGCTGTAGGGGGAAGGCAGGTACAATTTAGGAAGGCGAAAAACAGGGAAATGAGGAGAATACAGAATGAGGACATTTGGAAGGGTCAGACATATTACAGGCTTGCATGGTCTGCCCTACTTTTCTTTGACAGTAGACTACATTAGTACAGCGACTGCAAAGTGAGGTGGGTGTTAGGGTGCACTCACTGGGAGTGTGTGGGGGTCACCTGCAAGTTTCATTTCATTAAGTGGAAATAAAAAGTAGTGAATCTAAAATGTGGGCTATTTAAAACATTCTAGTGTTACCATTGCCTAATTAGCATCCCAAAATGCAGACAGATTCAACACTAAATCACAAGTGCAAAGTTAAAACTCCTCAGGTGTCTGGACACAAACCTCTGCCTGCCTTCTCTGCGGTCTATATCCTCTCCACTGGGAGGGCTGGGTGTCAAGTTCGCCGGGGCCCTGGCCCACATGCTGCAGCCTCTCACAGGGTCACTGAGCTGAGGCGATGAGAAGACCATTAGCGACCCCGCTTGAATGGCTGTGGGAACTACAACCCCCACCGAGCCAAGAACAAGAGGGTTTATTATTCAGGCGAACCCACAGAGCTTGCCTTTGAATGTATGGAGAGAAACGCCTCATTTACTGCAACTGGTGGGTTTTTGTGTTCGTTTTAAAAACTATACCAGGCCCAACATGGACACAATCCTTGCCAAACTCCTCGGGAACAAGCTATAATATGTGCCTACAGGGACTTTGTCATATTTAATTATGGTTTTCTAAAGCATGCATGTATTATGCCTGCGCAGTTGCCACAAAAGCGACATTACAGTAGATTTTCTCCAGTGGTTTGCCTTTTGGATTCGACATTTATAAATATTTTTCTTGTACATAAAGCTGTGTGTTTAGCTGCGACATGTTTTAACCGCGGGACGATGTGGTCTGCTTTAAAAACTGAACTTTCACGGTGTTTTTTCACAGTGTGACACTTTTAACTACTTTTACAGTTTTATTAATGTAAGAACGACATCTCACTGTGGTTACATGGGTATTTTGAACATATTTAATGTCGTTTTATCAAACTTTTCGTTAGCTGACGTTTATCTCTAACAGCGTACAATAGCAGCTGCTTCAATGGGACGCCTGGAAGAGAAATGTTTCCCGGGGTGAAGTTGAGGGGAGACGGTAAACTTCCTCTGTGCGCTGCCACGTCTGAGCCCGCTTCCTGTGGAGGACGCAGCCAAAGGGACAGCAGCGGAGGAGAGGGATATACTTGAATTAATTAACGGTAAACTTGAACAAATACGCTTTTCCTTGTTTCCCTTTCGCCCAGAGGTTTTCGGAAATCACAACACAGTATGCTGGACTCGACAGCAGCTGCTTCCCGTCACCGCTGTCACCGGCTCGGCAAAAATCAGTCGAGTCTGGGGGTTTATGTGAGGCAAGATGGAGAAACGCGTACACTGAAAAGCTTCTTTTGAAAACTTCATCGAAGTTAATTGTCACACTCCGGTTTTCCCGCAGCGGGTGAGATAATAACCGTGTTGCCAAGTGGGGAGGAATTTACAAAATCAAGTTTACTGCTGTGGCACCGTAGGAGCCGGTGCTGCTGTTTGCACAAGTAGTTGTAGTTTTACAGCAAAGAGGGAACCCTTAGGCTGTGTTTATATTGCTTTATATCAAATATGAACAGTGCAATAACAGCACGAGGAGCTATTACACTGTTAAAAATCAGTCAGAATGCCTGTAATGAATAGAGCTATTTTCTTTGTGTCATAAATGAGAAGAATGCATTCTCTTAATTCTTCTCACTGTCATGCACACACACAAATAGTTTATATTAATGCTGACTCCTCGCCCTGTGCTTTCCTCTAGATCTGCCATGCTGCCCAGGCTTCCTGTCTGTATCCTCATTTCTTTGCCAGTTCTTCTGGTGCAGGGCAGCACCACGGATTCATCCAAGAAGAGCCCTGCTGCCCCAGCCACCCCGCCTCCACCCCGCCCACCGCCTCCTCTGGGTGACCCCAGCTGGGCTCTGGGTCTGCACCTGTACAAGGCTCTGCGCTCTGACTCAGGCTCTGTAAACACCCTCTTCTCTCCTCTGCTTGTGGCCTCCTCGCTCGGAGCGCTGGGTGAAGGTTCAGCAGGCACCACTTCCAGCCAGGTCCATGACCTCCTCAAGACTCCAGTCACTGCCACCAAGGCTGAAGCCCGTGCCGGGGAGCTCCTGTCCGGGGCGTTGAAGAGCTTCACTGAAGCCAATGGCACCAGCTTTCACCTGCGCGCATCCTCAGCTCTGTTTTCCAAGCAAGCTCCTCCAGTCAGCCAGGCGTTTGTGAAGGAGTGCCAGGCCAGGTTCGGGCTGCAGCATCGGCCACTGGGAAAAGGAGATTCCAAGGCTGACCTGAAGAAGCTCCATAGCTGGGCTAAAGCTGGGCTTGGTGGACTGGAGGGGGCTCCTTTAGCGGATGAAATCCAGGCTAAGGATGGAGCTTTGATACTGGCCAATGCCCTGCACTTTAAAGGTATGTAGAAACAGTAAATACACAAAAATACACAAGTGGGCTCGTCCTTACTCACTTCACCATGTCTGTGGTCACAAAATCCTGGAAAACATGAGTTTGGAAATGATGTAAAATAGCATGCAAACATGTCATCATTTGTCACTGTGTCCAAAACAGTCCCGCCTGTGACCCTAAATGATGCAACTTTATAGCCAACTGAATATTTTATTATGGTGAGCATCCAGTGGCATAACTGGTCGGATGCAGACACACAACATAGCAGCTAGGCTGGACTGAGTAAGACTGAAATAGACTGGTGTGCTCTGTAATTGTGGAGTCATTTGTAATTATGCAGTGACTCTGTATGGATGATGTTTGCTGCATTGGATGAGAAGTCTTAGAATATTAATATGCTGTTGCACATGTACCGTTTTCAGTCAGACAGTCACAGCACTGAGAGTCTACGTGCCAGTTTGCCCACTACATTGTGTGTGCCAGCATGCCCACCTGTGTGCAGCGTGCATATCTGTGTGTGTGTGTGTGTGTGTGTGTGTTTCTGTGTGCATGCATGCGGTGGACTCCAGCTGGTGGACACAGCAGATAAAGGATGATTCGGGGGTCTATCACTGAGAGCTTATTCATCTTCCATTGGGGGGTGATGTGTCATCTTAAATAATTGAGTAACAAGTGTCCAGACTCTCTCCCTCGGTGTCATGCCTAACATCTGTGCTTGGAGCGCTCCAACACTGCAGCGGCACAGCTTGGCTCTGATCTGTTCTTTGTGACGGGGCCGCAGTGGAGGAAACTAGTCAATGTTTCGGTGCAAATGTAGTCAGTTAGAGGCCCCATCTGTGAGCTGCATCCCCAAAACATATCCCTGTAATCCTTATCTGAAAGTCATCATTGTGCCCGGTTAGAAACGACCATTAAAGGTTAAAGAGGTAGAATATTTGGCTGTTAAAGGGTGTCAGTATCTGTTCAGCTATATTTTAATTCATCATGAGTCAAAGAAATAGCTTATTTTCAATTTTCATGACAACTTTTCAGGAGTGTAATCTACCATCTCTCACTTCCTCAGAGCACAGTCAACATTCGCATGCCTGCTGATCTCATTTTTGTTTGCAGTCTCCACAAAAGACGATGACGTGTTAAGTACATCCTTCTGTTTGGCTTGTTCTTTTTGTGGCATTTGTCTCTGTTTTTGTGCCTTTGTCATTGTTTATCACCTCTCTAATCTACCCCTGTCTCCTCTTCCTCTTCTTTACCACATGTCTCCTTGTTCACATCCTTATCTGCGCCTATCTGCCTCTACTCCCTCTGTTTTCTCCTGCAGGTATTCTTTTTATTAGGTGCAAAGAAGGCGAGGCGAGGCTGAAGTGAAAACAGGTTGCCAACAGATAGACAGCCTTTTGAAAATAACATTCCCTGACAGACTATACATTGATAAGCAATTTAATTAATTTTCTTTGTTTGATGTTTTGACTTCATTACGAAATTAGTTTTTCTGTGAGCCGACCCTCGTTGGTCGGTTCATTAATTTTGTGGAGGAAATATACAAATTAGATTATACAGCAGATTGCAGCGCACAAATTAGATTACGTAAAATTGGATTCCTTTAGTTTTGATTCATAATTCACAAGTGGTCGATAGTTTTCGTCTTGCTCATGCTGGCTGCCTGTGGTTTGTTGTAACTTTTTTTTATTTGTCTTTGATTTCACGGTCCTTAGGCAATTCATAGTGTGTGATAATGTAATGGTTTCAGAGATGGTGCCGGGATTTCTTCTGGCACTGAACAGGCATCTGCTTCCTTGCCCGTTTTTGTTTGTTTCACTTGCGTTCCCTTTAGTTAATTATTGAAGGGGAGAATTACAAAAAACCTCCGCGCTGTCCCTCCTTCCCTGGACTGCACACTGCATTCAAAGAAAGGGAAGGTCAGGGGCAATTAGTAGTGGAACATGTTTATAGTAGAGGGATGTTAAATGCACAGAGAGTTGCTAGAGCACTGCAGAGAAAGAGCAGTGTAAGGAGAGATTTCTGGGTGGGAAGGGGACAAAAAGATGCAGGGGAGAAAAGTAAAGAGTGAAAACTGAGAAAAGTAAAGAAAGAGAGGGTGGCCTGCTGAGAGAGCGAAAGAGATTGACAGACATAGTGGAGGGATGTAAAAGGCATACCTTGGGAGTTCCAGTCCAAACTAGTTAATTAATTCAGGCTTTGTTCCTGTTTTAGACAAACAAACACTGGAGACGGAAGAAGAAAAATAAGATTGTGAGGAGAAAAAAAACAGTAGAGAGAAACTTATACACAAGATAACGCTGCAACATGGGGAACTAGAAGAGGAAAGAAAAGGCGAGAGAGAACAACAAGTCCCCACATATTTTACCTCTAATAATAGCTTCTGAAATACCAGAACTACTTGTAATCAAAAGTTGATGAGGGAGGAGAGGGAGCCGGTCGCTCTCATTGATTTTCCTCTGGTTTTTGCTGAAGTTTACAGTATGAATTGGTAAGTCTGTGAGCGATTGGATTTCTTAGCTTTGCAATTGTCTCGCTGTTTATTGTTGATGGATATTAATGGATTCAGGTTTCAAGAGATGTCTCGGCAACAGCGCTGTCCTATAAACGAAGATCACGCAGTGCAGACCCAAAGCAGGCGCGCTCGTCTAGACACAAGCCCACACAGCCACACGCAGAGATCAACAGAGACTGCTGTGCAGCCTGGTGAGGTCATTAAAATCCCTGCTCATGCACGTACACATACTGTGGAGAAGTTACTCCTCATTATGACATCATTCCAGCAACACGGCTGCCACTTCAGGTAATCTTCAGCCGGTTGTTTTTGAATTCCAGTGCGATCATATTCCAGTCTCTGATGTTATAGGAAGCGGAGTGAATGTTTGTGACTTGCACTGACAGGCCTGGAAGGGAGACTCACATGTCATTCGGCTGTGACTTGTTATTGGCTCAGGTCCAGTGGAGGCTGGGTGGTTTTTGGGAAATCTACCCCTTGTGCTGAAACAGTGAGTCAAATAATTTATCAACGGGAAATTAATCGGCATCAGTTTTGATAATTAAACTATTTAAAGCGGCTCCAATTTTAAACACCAAGGTGACATGTTTCAAAAGGTCTCGTGTGGCTCTAGAGACTAGATGCTGGAATATTTTAGCCCCCGCTGAATATTTTTGTATGTTTTTAAAGTTTTAAACTTTACAAATTTATTTTAACAATATACAAAACAATATCAGAAAAGTTTTATCCATATTGAACTTTTTTTTTTAGCCATGCTGGCAATGTGACTCTAGGGATTTCTGTATCAACGAAAATATCCTAACAACTGATGGGTCGACTGCAATAAAATTTTAGGCAGACGTTCATGACTTTTCCTGCAGTGTCACCAGCAGGTCAAATTTAAGCTCAGTATCTACCAAATGTATTGGCACAACATTTTGTACAGACCCGTGTGGTTTCCATAAGATGTATCCAAAAGACTTTGGTGCTACTTTGCTTAAGCACCACCATTAGGTTGATGTTTATGGTTCTATTGACAGATCTTGACAACCACTTATTTGGTCAAAATTCCAATTTGTCTAATACTTTGGTTAACAACTATATACCTGCAAAATTACTGACATTCCCATCAGCCTCAGTCGTACCTTGTGTTTAGTGGCAATTAAATGTCAGCATGCATGCTTATGAGCTAAACTAAGAACATGAGCATGGCGAACATTATACCTGCTTAACATCAACATGTTAACATTGTCTTTGTGAGACTGTTAGCATGCCGATGTTAGCCACAGCAGTGATTTGAGCTACAGTAAATGCTAAGTACTGACTTACAGAGTAGCGATTGTGGCTCCAGCTTGATGGAGGTGCAATACTTAATCTAGAATACTAATTGAATAATACTTTTTAAGTCATTTATCAAGCAAAAATGCCAAACATTTAAATGAGAGTATTTGGCATTTGAGAGCATTTGCTGCTTACTGTGTTTTATAATTTTAAATTGAATCATTTTGAATTTGTGGGACTGTTGTTTGGACTACACAAGCAAGTTTAAGTTGTGACTTTGGACTCTGGTAACTTGAAATGGATAATTTTCACTCTTTTTTCTGACATTTATCAGACTATGATGTGGAGAATAGCATGCTCTGCACGTTTGTCCAATGTAAGTATTTTTTAATAAAGCCAAGCAATTGGTCTGCAGACTTTCATCAGGGCAAATGAGCCGTTTGATTTTTTTGGCCTTTTTGCACCTTATTATTGTGTCCTAAGTGTGGTGATCGATAATCGATAATCAAAGTCATTGTTAGTTGCAGCCCTAGCCGTCCCCAGGTGTCGTTCACAAAGAGTGACATAAGTAAGAGTCATAATCTGTCGACCTCCTTGCTCCATCCCGTGTCCCCCACACAATTGAATGGGCCAGCAGCTTTGGGAATGTGTTGTGAGGTTATTACAACAGTAATTCCACCAGTCTCAGCCCCTCCTAAATTGACAGCTGTCAGGGGGTTAGCAGGGCCAAGTGAGATGTGGTGAACAGCAAATGAGACGATGTGGCCTCAAGGACCTCATAACTGCCTCAGTATAGCGCTCAACTCAGCAGCTTTGAGGAGAGTAGACACTTTTTAATGGGCAGTAGATATTGATAATTCATGAGCTGTGTCAGTTGGTGTCACTATGTATGAGGTCCGTGTGTGTTTTATGATCGTGGCATTGTTTAACCTAGTGTCCACCCTCTCACCTCTTTGGATCATTCAGTATTTTCTCACAGCCCATCCACGTCAGGTATTCTACATTCAAAATGGCTCTGTCCTCTGTGTTTGTTTGGCTGTTTGCTCAGGGCTGTGGGAGAGAGAGTTCAGCGGTGAGAGCACAGATCATCGTACCTTCTTGGGGAAGAAATACACCAAAGTGATGATGATGCACAGAGCAGGTAAAAAAACACAGTCTGTCACTGCTGTACTCCTGCCAGCAAATAAATGCAGCGAAAAGCAATTTGAGTTCTAAAATGGCTTGAACATCTGTAAGGTCCAATCTGCTTCTCTCCTATTTATCACTGTGTACCTTATGATTTATTTAACACGCTTTTCATATTTTATGCATTGTCTTAAAACAACAGCAAGGCAGAGCGAATATTCTGCTATGGCGGCATTAAAAGATGTAGAAAGACTGCATTGTAATATATTTAATGTTATATTATAATGTCCTTTCCAATACATAAAAAAGATTACTTCAGTGATCCTTTGTCATGCCGTCTAAGGTTGCATTCACATTTTGTTTGAATGGATTAATTTCAGCTCTGTAGTGTTTTCTCCTGTAGCTCAGTTCATTTAGGAAAGTGAAAACTCACCAAATGACTGCAGTGACACAGCTGAAAATGCAAGTTTGAACCAACTTCCAAGTGAACTGCTGTGGAGAACTGCTGCTCTGAACTACTGCTGAAAAGCAAGAATGTTACATTATGGCAAATTCTCTCCTTGACTCTGATCTTTCCTCACCTCTGTGCACGCCTCCGCCTGTCATTTCCTCCAGGTTTGTACCGTCACCATGAAGACATTGAAAACATGGTGCAGGTTCTGGAGGTGCCCCTATATGGGGGCAAGGCCAGCGTGGTGCTCCTGCTGCCCTTCCATGTCGAGAGTCTGGCGAGGTTGGAGAAACTGCTGACACCTGAGCTGCTGTCCAAGTGGCTGGAGAAGACCAATATCACTAGTATGTCCATCTCGCTGCCTCGGGCAAACATCACCAGCACACTCAGTCTCCAGGTAAGTACAACAAACCTAACAGACTTTAAAGTTTAAGGTTTAAACTCATGGTAAAGTATTGCGATTGTAGTTACGCCAGTGGAATAGGCGTTAAGATATCTTAGGCTGAGTGACCACAGAGTTTTCGTCTGAGTGCCAGCATATTTTTTCAATTGTTTACCAATGAGGAGAGTGTGGTCAGAATGATTTTATTCTTCCAGGCCTTCCATTTCCACTCTGGTTTTAAAATAGAGCTTCTGACAAACAGAGAAACTGTTTACAACACTAAACACATAATGATGACTTGAGCTGCATTTTAATTGTGTAAAGTTAATTTTATCCATGCGGTGATGGCTGACAGGGTGACTGATTTTACACTCTGATTCCATCACTACAGCTCAGAATAACACGAGACACCTGTGTGATGAGAGGTGGAAATAAAAAACAGAGAAAAATAAAGCACACACTGTTAATTGGCCCCCGTGATTATAAATGCAAAATTTCAGTAGGATAGATCTCATCAGTCATGAACTTCTTTTTCAGTCTTTACTTTGGTAGCAGAAGCATTATTTTTAAGTTTTTTTATGTGACATATTTGAAGTAGTTTCTTCATCATCCAACAAAATGGCAAAAAAAGACTTTGCTCCCTTGAGCCATGCACCCGCTTTTCTGCCCCCCCAACAAGCTATGGGGATACACACCTTAATATTAAGATGGAATAAACTTTACCTCAGCCTCAATCAGTTATTAACTTATGTAATTATAATACCTAGCTCCATCATACACTCCAGCTCTAAATACATCACAGTATAATGATTTTGTTTCACATGTACAGTAGTATATTTCTCATGCTTTATACCCGTACAGTAAAGGCAATTACATCATGCCCGTCTTGTATGGCAGTCAGAGTGGTATCTCTGATCCCGACTGCTCTGAAAGGTTTGAAGAGTAAAGACTAAGCTGATGTCTTACAGCTCTTCTGATAAGCTGAGAAACCCATAGAGTGCAGTCAGAGGGGTGTCAGTAGCATTCTTTTTCTCACAGATTTTTCAGTGTAGCCCATCTGTGAAACCCTTTTCCATTTTAGGGTCATGTCTTTAAGCAAGGTACATCTCTAGGTTTGTGGTGCATCCCTTTTCCCCCTCCCTGTGGTATGCAGCACAGCCGCATGAGCTGTTGCTCCTGAATTTTTCCCCCAAGGGCCTTGGCTGGCTCCGGCAAATCCTTGGAGTGAGTGTGAACAACCAGATGCTCCGTCCCCAGCAGGCACAGTCTATCTTGTATTAGCCTAATTTGCAGACTCACCTCACCTGCCCTTGCAACAGGGTTTGTGGTGTTTTCTTTTAAGGGGCATCTACAGGTAGCAGGGAGTAATAGTGGCTGATTCTTTTGTCTTTTAATCCATGTTCCCTGCATTTGTATTTGACACAGCGGATTGAGGTGATATGCCTATAGAGCACATTAAACATGAACTGAAGAAGCGTTTCCTCCATTTTTCAGTACTGTAGAGAAATTTGACAGAGTGGATCCCTACATGCAGCATCAATTGTAGTTTCTTTCTTTTAGTTTCTATCTTTCATTCATTTCCTGTTTCCACACACTGCATCATTTTTCACTTCACCTCATACAGTTTCTCATATCTCCAAAAAATCCAGTCATCATTCTCATTGTTTCTTCGCCTTCTTCATCCTCTGCTTTGGTTTTTCCATGTCGCCTTGTCTTTGTTCTATACTTCTGTCTTGGCCACCTCCTCTTCCTGACTCTGCTTATCTTAGTTCCCTTTCTTTTCCCCTTCAAGAATAATTTTTTCTCCATTCATATGTCCTTACTCTTCCTCCTCATTTGGCTCCGCCGCCTCTTCTCTCGCTGCTCCCCCTCGATGTTGTGCAGTGTTTCTCGCATGCCAGTTCTTCCTCTTTGTTGTTCTTCTCCATGCATTCATCACCTCTGACCTCTGTTTGTTGCCTACTTTTCTGTCTTCCTTTTTCTCTTTAGTGCTCTTAGTAACTGAAGCAGTGGCCTGACTTGCCCTTTCCAGTTCAATGCAGACTCTGAATCTGGTAAGTTCAAATGTCACTTCTTTCCACACTTCTCCTCTCTCCCTTGAGGTGATAGGCATCCAGCTGTACTCACAGCATTTGGGCTGTAACAGCCTTCAGCAGGGACTCAAACCCTGGCTGCTAGGAGGCTAAGAGGGGCCTGAGGATGACCATGACCTGTGGCTCCTCTGTGGGTTTCCAAAGCCTCCCACAGACTTCCTTTTGCAGGAGCACAAAGGTCATGCCACAGCCCAGCTGGTAGTCTGCCTCTATCTCTGCTCCTCTTGGCCCCAGAGCCAGCAGGTAGCTGGTCTGAGTCAGAGGAGAGGAAGCCAGGAGGAGCACCAGGCAGACAGGCAGCAGCTTAGTGGCTGCTGATGCTAATGTGAGTGCATGGGGCTTGTTAAGGTTCACACAGGCCAGACCAGAGACTGTGTCGGGCTGCTGACTGAAAGGTTGGAGAGTTGTTGAGCTAGTGTAAGAGCACGTATTTGACCAGGCCACAGGGTCCATAGCAGGGGCAAGGGCACAGACAAGTTGCTAGAATCACACAGGCCTCCACTCCTTTGAGAGTATCCTGCTGATGTGGGTCATGGCAAAAAGAAAGTTTCCCTTTCAAGCGTATTGTACTGACGTTAGCTGCAGGCACAGTTCTATAGTTAACTTTTTTCATTTGCGATTGCCAAAAAATGTAGTCAGTAGGGATGTCTCTGTTGAGTTTTTTGCATGTGACACACCTGATTTTTCAAAAGGTACATAATCCAAATATTGATGGTCCTGATTCAAAACTATTAAGTCAAACTTCCAGTTGTGCAGTGGTGTTACTGAGTGGAGGTTCTTCCTTCACAAATGATCTTTGGCTGAGTACAAGGTAAATTTTGGTCAAGTAGGGCTGAACAATTAATCCTATTCAAACCGACATTGCAGTATAATAAAATGTAATTTTTAAATCACAGTCGTGTACGCTCTGCCCTACACTCCATGTAAAATCTGTAAATAAGATTAAATGTAGATAACAACTTGAAAAATGGCACACGCAAACTTTGGTGCTCGCAGTATACTGGATGAAAATGTCCAAGACCAGGTAAAAATGCACTCTACATCTTTACATATTTTATTGTTTCCTGTAGCAAGTGTATGGTTGAGCAGCTAGAGACATAAATCAGCCTTGCGGTGGATGCGCTGAGAGCAGACAAGTGTTGGTGTTTGTGTGTGTTCTGAAGTAGCAACAGTCAACAACATGTTTACAACGAGGCGAGCAGTGGAGCCATAGTCAGTGTCTTCTTTAGTTTGTGTGATTTGTTACAGCACTACTGACTGTAGTTCAGCAAGATTCATGTATTCAATGGTGTGGTGGGCCTACTTAATTGCAATTGCAATATTATTAAAAAAAATGCAATTGGAATTTTTCCCATATTGTTTAGATCTGGTGTGTAGGATTTAGTGACATCTAGTGGTGAGGTTGCAGATTGCATCCAAACTGAAACTTCTCCAGTGTGCCAAGCATGTAGGAGAACTAAGGTGTTTGGTTTGTCCGTTCTGGGCTACTGTCGAAACAACGTGGCGGACTTCGTAGGTGAGGACCTGCTCGGTATGTAGAAATAAACAGCTCATTCTAAGGTAATAAAAACACAATGCTGTTTCTGTCAGGTGATCATACACTGATGAAAAGATAGTACTGAATATTATATTCCATTTCTGCCAACATGTCCCCCTAAATCCTACACACTGGACATTCATTCATTCATTTTCAGTAACCGCTTACACTGTTAAGGGTCACAGGTTTGCTGGAGTCTGTCCCAGCTGACATTGGGCGAGAGGCAGGGTACACCCTGAACAATGTAAATGTAAAGTTTGTAATTTAAATTAACGACAGCTGATTTTTGATGTCTTGGTCCCCAGGACATCAACTGTTTCACATAAATACAAAAATACAAAACACCATGACCTTCCAAGGGCATTGTTTAGCAATTTAAACTGACTAAAGTGATGATTCTTCTGACAGATTTGTTATCTTGTTCACTTGCATATGCAAGCAAAAACGCTGACAAAGGGGAGAGTGGCTGTCATAAAGTAAAGCAGGCTGAGGTGAGCAAAACACTGTAAAGAAAGGACTGGCATTTAAGACAGTGCCAAACCATTAAAATGTTCTCCAGACATCTCTTGTGCTCCACATTACTCACCAGCAAGAGACGGACCTTAAGATGCGTTATGATTGAATGCAAAGCAAATTTTCACCTCGTACTATTTGTCATTTTGTCTCTCTATGGGTGATGAAGTGGAGTCATGCAACCTCTGGATTAGTTGTTTGTTTTTATTATTATTGTTGACTTGAAACATTTTCAAACTGCATGTATGCATCTTTACCTCAAATCCCACAGCTCAGAGTAAGTTCACTTGTGTTTGCATCCTTCTGTATCTTTCCATTGGTGTTGCATGCAGTCGCTGTGCTTCTAAAATTTCAGTCAGAGACAGTAGTTGGTGGTAAAGCGGTTGTGGTTGAGTGAGGGAGACATAGTAAGAGGGAGGGAGAGAGAGAGAGAGAGGTTAGTTGAAGCTGACAGATACAGAGGGCATGTGAGTAAAATCCATTTCCTTAGGGCAGGGTACACTGACTGGAACCTATTACCATGTCCTCTGTAGATATACATTGTAACCTCATCATGGGCTGATGAAATCCACTTTGGCCTCTTTCTAGTTTAACAAACATCTCTGAAGAGTTGTGCTGCCATGTTATTCTGCTAGCCATGCCCTGAAGAACAAGCTTTTGACATTAACATTGTCAGGACACTCCGGGGAGGAGGCTGTAATCTAGAACTAAAGCTTGAAACAACTCCTTTTGACACGGCTATGACTTTGCCAGGGAAAGAGCAGGAAAACGTACTGTTGCACAAATCCTCTTTTGTCTCTGCGAGAGAGTTTGCCAGACAGAAGGGAAAAAAAACTTTTGCTCTTGTAAACAACTAAAAGTCACTGTACTTTGCTCTCATTATGTAACCTAATTATGGACAAGCACTTGAATGTTTTGGCCTCTGCTTCTGTGACTTGTCAAGAGTTGTCTGCCTCCGTTTGCTCTCTCCAGAAAAAGAGGTGCATTCGAGGAATCATTATGAAAGAGCTAAAGCTCCAAACAAACCCTCAACCCACTCCAATCTCATTTCATTTGTCTGCCCAACCCCTCTGGCCAGTGACAGCCTGCCATGTCTTCTCTGACGATCATTTTTCCAATTGGCTCGGGCAAATAATTGCTCATCACTGTGCGTTAATACTGTTTACCACTCTGTCTGTCAGTGCTTGGGATGGCCATGGAGTCCTGAGATTAGAGGGGGGCATCTGGACAAACAGGAGATCATAGTGTGTGTATGCCAATCCTAACACTAGTGTCCTCTGTGCGAGGCTAATGAGAACAAACAAAATCACGCACCTCTGGGTCATGCTACATGGATTTGCCACATCCAGATGCACCCATTCCCTCTTTCACCTCTGTCCTCTCCGTCGTATCAGTCCTAAGGATCTAATTCCTTTTTGTAGGTCTCACATGTGACTGTAATACGCCATCAGTCAGCGGCCGCACGTTGGCTCTGCTGACCTAAATAGAAGTGACATTCTCAGGCAAGTGAGCTGAAGAGGTGGAGGAGGACGAGGGGGGTCAATGATTGCTCGGGGACAAGGTGTAAAGCGTCACAGTACTATAAATAGCTGCAGAATTCTGCCTTTCTCTCCGTCTCCCTATTTGTGGTGTTCTCCTTTGGTGAAGGGCAGACTGTGTCGGAGTCTGTAGTCGGAGACGGAGAACCCTCTTAACAAGCCTGGCCCAGAGGTCACTGGATAAACCACCCTCATCGCTCTCCCCCTCTGTCTCTGATCCAGTGCTGACCAGGCCACACACACGTACACACTAATGGTAGAGCTCAAGCTCCATTCTGGCTGTATCTCCAGTTGGTGACTAAGACATATGAGTGTGCACCGGAGAGCTCACTCAATCACGGCTAATGAGGTCAAAAGGCCATCAAATATTTACAAGAGCACACTCCGCAGTATACAGTGTCGAGGGACTGCTCGACTGTTTTAACACAGCTACCACAGCCCTGCATCATATGAATTAATCAGATGTGTTTCATGGCCATTAGTTAAATATCTCGCTAAAAGCAAAGGTTCCTTTATTTTCCCCCTTTTTCATTTGTGATAAAACAGCCTTGTGGAATAAAAAGCAGTTCATGTGTATGTGTGAGCAAGTGAATGGGAGCGCATTGACTGTGCAAAAGAGGTAAAAGCCCATGTAAATAAGATACCAATAGCGGTATTGCTGATGAGACTCAATAAAGAGATGGAGAGGCTTTGAAGCCTCAAGAGAGCTGATAGAAAGGGAGGCTTTTTTTTTTTTTTTTTAAGCCTGCATCAAATGTGTCCATGAAATGGAGCTGTGATGATGCCAGTGCCACATACTGCATACTTGAAACCACCCACACAGAATGTTAAGGGCAGTATTGAATTAAGCAGAACACGTCTGTAGTTGTTTAAGGTGGCGACAGCTTAAAAGAATCATTTTGAGCGCATGATTGGTGAGCCAGAGGGAACGGGAGGTGTAAACTGTGCAGGATCAGTGGATGTTTAGCCTCTTGTTTTCTATGCTGTTGGACTCTATAGTCACGATGTAGACATCACAGTTGATTGAACCAGGCTGGATTTAGTTTGTTTCTGTTTTGAGGTCAGTTGATGTTGAGGATGGGGAAATAAAATCGCACAGTGTGTGGTGTCGAAGAATTCAAATCATTTGCCTTCTGATCCAGAAGATGCCTCATCAAGATTGATTTATTTAGGTATGTTCCCTTTGTTGGACATAAAAGAGGCAGATGGGAAACATGTGGAAAGAGAGGGGGATGACATGCAGCAAAGGTCCTCAGTGGGGTTGTTGCATTTGTTGTAACCTTTCAGTTACAAGGGCACTAACATAAATGATCTTTATAACCAGAATTGGGAAACATGACATCATATAGTAGGAGAAATGGTGAAAAAAAACCCTGTCCAACATAATCTGCAAGCAAAAATGGCAATCAGTCCCAAGTCTTCGCTTCTTGTTTGTAAGAAGTTGCTGCTTTACTCTCTTTTATGTCATTGTAGACTCAAATTTTTATAGATATGGGCGTCACTTAGCAAAACAAGCAATTTAAAGATGTCAGCTCAGGCTGGTGAGTGTTTTTTGATTATTTTATGACATTTCATAGACCAATGATTAATCCAGAATATAATCAATAATGAAAAAGTTCCTCAAGTACATTCAGTTCTGCACACAACCATACAAGGTTTTTCATGGGATTTTGGCAGTTACCTAGTAACATGACTTGAATCAGTCGGTCTGTTGTCCTTTTTACTCAGTTGTTCGCCATGTGCTGCTCTTTGAATGGCTGTTAAGAAAGAAATATCTGATGTTAATGGAAGTGGTTATGTGTGGTTTGTAGTCTTTCCTTGGTTTTGATCATCTTAATGCCTTTTCTCAGGTCAGTTTCGAGAATGTGCAAGCTCTGGCTAATATGAAAAGAGCATTGTTTGGCAATTGTCTCCCTTTTTGATCTCTGCTTTCTCCTCATCTATCTTTTTTCCCTGTTGTCATTATTAAGGCTGCTCTGTCTTTTACCGTCAGCAGCATTGTCTCCTCGAAGATAGAGCTGTAACATGTCCTGGCTGCCACAACCTATCCCCTTAAACCCCCCACAGGTACACCCAACAAGCTACTTATTGGGCTCAACCGTCAGGCTGAAATAATGTGAAGCTGAGTGCTGCACGCCTGAGGGTTGATGCCATGCTACCTCAGGCCTGGTTAGACTGCACCGCTGTAGGCCAAGTAAGCTCTACACATACACACACACTGAGGAAACCACCAGCTGACAATGCCTGTGGCTCTCACTCACAGACAAATAGCTCGTTGATGCTGTGTGCAAGGCATCAGCAGTCCACCCAGTGCTGTTCCATCTAAGATTCATGTGGTGCTTCAGAGAGAAAGGGCAGCCAAAGAGCACCTCCCAGAGGTTTTTTTCTCCCCATATAATGCAGTGCCACACCTTGGTGGTGCATGAGGCCTACATAGACTCCTCTGACACCCCTGGTCTGTTTCCCAGCTTGCTGCCACAGGGTCCCTTAATTTTTAAACACCTTATAGCTTCAAAAAAATTAACCAAGTGCTTTTGCCTTGACGTGCAGAGCAAGAGAGTTTGAGAGGAAAGCTAAGTCATGTGGAGTTGACTGGTACTATTTATGTGCTTTGTAGTGGCACCTGCACGACTGTAGGCCAAGTGTGCTTGGTCCTCGTGGAATACTGGTAAAGAGAAAGAGGAGGGATGAACATGGGTGACACATAGAGACACAGAAGCCATCTGCTTTTCCTCACACACACACATTTGTCTTCAACAATCTGAGGAATCCACCAGCTTAAGTCTGCTTCTGTTTCCTCGTTAGATAAGGAGCAGGAAAAACCTGGAAACGATTGCAGACGGAGATCGAGAAGTTGAGAGCGATGTATACCGGGGCCGAGTCGGGGCCTGTCACAGAAAGAGAAGGATGAGGCCGGGGGAAAAAAGACTGAGTTAGGAGCAGAGGGAGAGAGAGAGACAGAGTGGGATAAAATAGAGGCAGGCGGGGCAGATGAGGGATGAGGATGCCAGGCGAGTGGCAGAGCAGCAGAGGAAGACAGTGATGTAGTGGTAGCGAGTGGAAGAAGAGAGGAAGAGTGGAGGAATAATGGATGAGGACAATAGAAGTGCATTAGAGCAGGAGGTGTGTGTCTGTGTGGAGAGGGTGCTTTGCATGAAAACACTAGAATGGGATTGACAGATGCCTGCAACTGTATATACATCTACTTATTTCGTGTTTAGGCATAAGCCGACATGATCCAGTTGAACTTCCTCTCGTGTGCACATCTCAACTTTTAAGTAGAAAAGCAGACATTCTACATGGATTATTATAGTTGTCCATTAGCACGTGGTTTTAAGAGCTGAGCAGTATTATACTGAGCTGTAACAATGGAGTTTTGAAAGGAAGGCCAATGTCAGCAAGCAGCACCCACAGAACATTCACATTAACCCAGACAGCTCCTCTAAATGATTTACTGTTCCCGTCTGCTGGTAAAAGATATTTCCAATAAAGAGTTTAATCATCAAAAGTTTAAACAATGCTAGAAAACAAGATCTTCACCCACTCGTCTCCCTGTGCAACTTTCCTTCCAGCCGTGGCCTCCACGCACATCCACACACAAGTCCGCACAGTCACACGCTCACACCCACACATGCTCTCATCTGGCCCCTGGAGAAGCCTGTCACTGTGAGTGGCCCTCTGCCATGGGAGGATAAACTACCTGTCATGACGACGACTTTCTGTGGAATTCATATCAGAGCCAAAACAAAGGAGGTGCTGAGGTCACGGGGCATCACTCTTAAATTATTCATCCTCTGCTTCCTCCTTCCGTCTCCTCTCTGCCTGTCGCCCACTTTGTTCTGCCAGCTCACAACAAGGGCAACTGTCAGCCTCCTTCCCGTCTCGAAATTTTTTGGGATAGAAAGTAAATAAACATTATGGTCCAAACTCCTTTTAGAAAAGTTACTGATTGACTGTTTTGGAGGGTATGTTTATGTTGACGTTAATCATGTGGCAAGGATCGGGAAGGGCAGCGTGTTTCATCTACTTCTGAGGGTCACAGCATCATGAAATTTTAAAATGTGCTTTCCCTCCCACTCGTTGTTTGGTCTCCTTGCGTGCATAATTGATCAGTGTCCTGGCAGCTGCTTGTTCGCATACACTTGCAGGATGTCTCTATATAGGATGGCCTCAAAGCTTTGAGAGAATTGATTTAAGGCAGTGCATAAATTCCATCACTCTGTGTTTTTCCATTCTAGAAACAGTTGTCTGCTTTGGGCTTGACTAACGCCTGGGACCAGAAGGCAGCTGATTTCTCCGGGGTGTCCAGCAAGGGCAAGGGGAAACTCCACCTGGGTGGATTCCTCCATTGGGCTTCCCTTGAGTTGGCTGCTCAAGCTGGGAAAGGAGAAGCAGATCTGGAGGAGGAGAACGTCGAAAAGCCCAAGCTGTTCTACGCCGATCACCCCTTCATCATCTTTGTTAGAGACAACGCCACTGGAGCCCTGCTGCTGATGGGAGCTCTGGAGCATGTAGAGGGAGAGGCCCTCCATGATGAACTGTAATACCACCGACATCTATCCTTTTTCTTGTCTTCTTTGGCTCTGTTTCTTACACACTCCCTCTCAAAGACAACACACTGGTTTCTAAGTCGAGACATTGTCATTCACTGTGGCACACTATCACATCAAACTATGGCTGGCTGTCATACATTGACACTGCATAGTCTGGCACTGACTGACACTGCCATACCCGACAGTTACACAGTCACACACACATACCGACGCCTACATGGCATACATAAAAATACAGTACAAGACATTACTAAAGTTGACGGATACAGCAAAAACACTAACTCGGAGAGACTTACTGCATTTTCTCTCTCCCGCGCATGTGCACCCCTACACACACGCACACACACACACACTCAAGGCCTCAATGATCAAGTCAACACAAAACAAAATGACAAGAATGCTCTGACAAACACTAAGATGCTGACAAGCAGAAGTGGTTACACTCGCCCAACACTTAGAGCAGCATCAACAAAGAACTTTAACAAATAGAAGCTCACAGTGACACTTGAATCCTCCCTGTCAGGCAAACACAAAGGCAGGTGGGTGCGTGTGCTTATGTGTGTGTGTGTGTGTGTGTGTGTGTGTGTGTGTGTGTGTGTGTGTGTGTGTGCTCGGTGACCGACAGATCAAGGGTGCCCACGCGGCCGCTCTCGGAGCTGGCAGGGACCTATGGCAGGGTCCCCTGGGCAACATCAGAGGAAGACTGATGGATCATCCAAGTGCTTATTGATGAGCCAGCTTAATGCTAATGGCCGTAATGAGTCACAACGCTTGTCAACAACACGGAGAGGACAGGGGAACCTTTTAATCTCTTAATACCATCAGGGATCAATGACACCGTTATGCCGCTGGAAACAAACATGACTGACATCGCTCGACTTAAATGTAACAACTTAATATTTAGGATAATTGCAGCCCTTCAAAAAGGTATTGATTGTCATTTCCAGATTTGTTTTTTATAGCACCAGAGGGGTGGTTGTGATATGTGAATGAACTACTGTAGTGACTGCCTAAGTGTATGTTTGATATTTGATATGGTGCATTTTTTAAAATAAATATTTCTATTTGATACAAAGCAATCAATCATCAAAACATGTATTATTAATATATAATTCATGTGGACTGCCACAGCTCCATCTTTCTTGACAGCACTGATACCGGCCAAGACAGGAGTCTGTTTTTTGTTTTATTTTATTTTTTTCTTACTTCTACCCTGAACTGAATTGGCTGACACTGAGCCTCAAGGGTGTATGGAAGCAGATTTAAAGCCCTGAACCAGCATCAGTTATTGAATTTTTAAGGGGCAACACACGATAGGCTGGCAGTACCTAGAAAGTGCAGCAACAACTTTGTCAACACACTCACCCAACAAACAACAAAGGTAAAATGTTTCTCTAGTATCTTATATCGTGTATTTTATTAAAAACTCTACATTACAGTACATTTCTGTCCAACTACATAGGGTGCTTTTGTGTTGTAATAGATGTGTCTGTACACACGAAACACTCACTGTTTACAGTCTGACCTTTTTCTCAAGATGCTGTCAAAGTCTGGTACTGGTGAAAGAAGTAGTTTATTTTCTTGAAAGTGAAAATGTGTGCTACATCTGTTCTGTTACAGTGCTAAGTAACAACGTCTAGACGCACAGCTGGTCCGTCTGATGCACAGCATTCAACGAATCTGTTCCAGTAACACTCAGGTATTACAGCTTTGTTCCTAATTTAGCCCTCTGCACAGGTCTGCTCAGCAACAGTAGGTGTCGTGCACTTGTGTGTGTGTGTGTGTGTACTGTTAGCGAGTGCATTCATGTGTGAATAAAGCTACCACAATGACCTCTGCAGTGGCCTCCTGTGCAGCAGAGACTTGTAAAGGGCACCATACTGCAGGTATACTCCACACTGAATAAACCCGGGAGCCCAGTTTAGACAAGCCGATGATGGATCCGAGGCCATCCGCTGTGAGCACATCAATCCTGCTCATTCCAACACCAGCTCCCCGCTGACTCACCTTCACAATTTATTCAGCTCAGAATACTGACGAACACATACATGTCTACATCTGTTCACAGGGGAAAGGTAAGAAAACCTCTGATCTCAGCGAGCTATATGTACAGTATGTGGAACTATGAGGATAAATGTGATATGCCAGTGTAACATTTTAATGCAGCAATAAATATATATGGGCTCTTTGTCCTGTCTTTTGGCACAAATGTTTGTGTTTTGCCAGTTTTTCAATCAGTTTCTGATTTTAATACTTAATTTTCTCAGGGACTTCTCAATGTACACCCAGATGATGAGAGTTGTATGACAGCTGTTATTTCAGTGCCTACAGTCACTATCAAAGTGCTTTAAAGCTGCGACGTGAGCCTTGAAATACACACAGGCCTCTTGATTTGATTTCTTAATTAACCAGTTAACATATACTCGTGCTTTTTTCAATTTTAATGATGCTTTGCACAATAGGTAATATTTTTTTCCTCTGGATGACAGCATTTAGTGGAGGATTTCCAACTGATAAATACAAATAAGTCCCAAACCAGACTGATAGGTGGAAGACCATATAGATTTTTGAATATAATTATCCATAAAATTAAAAGGAAATTATCTTTTTAGGGAGCAACTGAGAAAGTTGTAATGCTGCCATGGTTAAATGAATTTTAAAAATGAAATATAGTTGAATTGATAGTAAGGTTGTATCATTACTAAGATACATTTTAGATACCATGTGTTAAAAACAATACGATATCCATTAATTATGCTTTCAATAGTATCGAAAGTATCAAAGTTATAAACAAAACCAAGGCCTTTATTTGCAGATTGGTAATTTAAAGAAAAAAATATGATTTTTTTTTTTTTTTTTTGTGTATGTCTAGAACTTTTTCTTTTGCCATAGTATCAAAAGTGTTATCAAGTATCTTTTTTTATCTACTTATCTACTTTTCTAATTCTGGTATGCTGACAACAGTTACTCACAGTGCCTTTTGAGACAGCCTTTTTATATATATATATTTGTTGACTGTGTTTGTCTCTTCTCAGCACACACTGTGTCCGGGAGCACTCTTTGCAGACAGCAAGCAGCAATATTTTGGACAGGTAATTGAGGTGAACTGCATTACGAGCTCTCTGTGATGACTTGATACTATCAGCAACAGTAAAGCTTCTCCTCACTCTCGCATGAAAAAAAAAAGGTTTGAATTTAATGTTTAATCCTGATTTTGAATAAAACATGATAAAAGTGAGACCATGAACTCCCTGTCTTCTCCGCTGCCTTGTATGATGGGTTCAACTCTTGGACAATCCAAGTGGCAGAAAAGTGGGTGAGACCGCAAAAGAGCACTCAGAGCAGAGTCATCCCAGTTACAGTACGGTACTTACCCTTTAGAGGGAATCGCAGAAGTGGCTCTGCTCAACTGGGGGTCAACTTGCTGATAGTATTGCTACAGGGGCCCCTCTGTTTTGGCCTTGCTCCTGTTAAAAGCTTGAGATAGGGCAAAAATAAGTGGCAGGCATGTGATACACGGAAAACTGATGTTTCCTACTGGTGTTTGACTGTAGGGAAACACATAGCCAAGTGCTTCAGAGACTCTTCAGATGTGGATTTAAACATACAATAGGAATGGGAGATAAGATTATAATGAAGATGTACTTTCTCAGCTATTTAGAAAACAAATGGCCTTCAGACATAAATCAACCTAACAAGTGTTTACATAGCTTTAACAAAGGTTCCCATTAGGCTCTTAAAAGCTGGGACATGTCTTCCTGCTACTGTTGATGACTCAGGGAAAATTTAGTTAATTAAAACAAGCCTAGTTAATTTGTATGAATCAGAGTAATTTAGCAAATATTTATTAATGAATTAAGAGCCCTCAGAGATGCAGAAAAATAAGATATTGTACTGAAAACAAACCAACGCTGAGACAGAAGTGAAAAAACACTGCCTATTAAAACTGAATTTAAAAATATGGCAGAGCACTGTACAGGCTGATACCTTAATAAATAGTAAGTCCCTTTGTTGCATGGGGTAAAAATGATGGGGGCATTAGTCAGGTCAGATAATGTCATGTAGTTTCTCTGAGGGACTGTTTATTTAAGAGGAGGCAGGAGGTGGTGCTAAAAGGGGGAGGCATGTCAAATAATTTTTAAAGCAGTGGGGAGGGATCTGAATTTAATGTACTTCATTTTGGCTTAGATGAGGGGTATAACTTTAAATGGTTGTATTTTTATTTTATTTTTTTACCACCGATTTGTAAAGAAAACATGCAGGTTTGGAAGGCATGTTTTCTTTAAAGAAATCACCATAGCCAGAAACTGTGATTTGGACACAAAGTCAGTATAACTATACAGGGATTATCTTATAACCTGATGAGTGAGACCCACACTGACCCATAGCTGTGAAACCACATAATCAAAATTGCATGCCCTCATATATGTGACATCATGTAGTTGGGTGGGACAAGATTCAAACAGCATGTTGTTCCTGCAGTGCATGAGGCAAGGAAAATGACAAACGACATAACTGGTTTTCATCATAAGGTCATAAAATTGTCATAGCTAATATATTACACTTTGATGGGAACCTGATTATAAAGTACTACTGTTCCAAAATCAGTAAAATCGAGTTCATATTGTGTCTATTTTTTTTTTTAAATTAGGCTGTTTTTATTTTGTCCCATTCCCCAAAACACACTTGGGTGATTGGGACAGTGCTAAAAGGTTTTGCTAATAAAGAAAATGATCACCCTCTGTATGCTCTAGATTAGTGCTTCCCAACCTCCTCACATGTGCAGAACCCAATCAACCATGAAAATATTTATGGACTAGCTGGATTTTGTTAAGTGCTTTTTGCAGGCCATTTTTGCCAGCTGGACTAGCCAATTACCAAAAAGCACTAAGTTTACACTAATACACTATCAAAGCCAAACCTAACACTCAGCCTTGACCTCTTAACCTATTCCTAACTAATCCTAATTAGCATTTTTTTTAAACCTCAACCTCATTTTTTCTTTAACCCAATTAAATGTATTCAATGAATTTTGGACTTTGAGGTTTTTTTTAGTTAATTAAATGTGTTAAATGAAATTTGGTGGGAGAGAATTAAGGGAGGGTGTGGGAGGGAGGGAGCTGTTGTGAGAGTGAGGAGTGACCCCTTTATATCGCATGAGCTGTGGATGGACTTCAGCAATTAAGTTTGGCAGAAATGTACATGGAGCCTTTATCCATAATGATTAACAGGAAAAGAAATACATGCATGTGAAATTATATCAAAGTATGAAATAAACTGCAATAAATATGCATACACTGACCTTAATCTCAAGTGATAAGATGTGCTACCCCAATCACCCAAATGATATAGTCAGTTTACTTAAAAGTGTATGTCATATGTCATGCTGCCTTGAAATATTTAAAAGAAAAACATTCCTCCTTAAATGGTTAGGTAACGAAATGTATCGTTCCTTGGGCTATTTTCAATTTTAGTTATGGCAAGAAAGCTTACAGAAGGATGAAATTCAAAAACTGTCCCAATCACCCTTAATTTACCCTGTTTCAACAAAATCACATTTAGGTCACCATGGGTGAAAAACCAAGCCCTTTTTTCAGCTTTAAGATTTCGTCTTGAACTAACTTTTAACTTCCAAACATAAAGGGTAAATTTTAAAAATAGATAAAGTCATTTATTGTGGAGGGAAGGTAATGCATATTCTGCACATCGATCGGGGAGGCTCAAGGAAAGATAAATGTAGGTTTGGGGAGGGTCGTAACAAATAAGTATTTAGTTTTGCAATAGAAGAGCATATTTAGGTTTTATGGTCTATGGATCAAACACACTCTACATACAGTGTGTAGATGTAAGCCTATAGATGCTACAAGGGGACTATAATTTAATTGCAATTTCAAGAAACACAAGGCACCAGTCTGCTATACACCAGAAGCTTGTTGTTGTTTTTTTAATTACAAATAACAGAATGAAAATTAGCCCATTAGCTGAAATTAGAGATTTGTTTTATTCATATTATATATATATACACTGCTCAAAAAAATAAAGGGAACACTTAAACAACACAATGTAACTCCAAGTCAATCACACTTCTGTGAAATCAAACTGTCCACTTAAGAAGCAACACTGATTGACAATCAATTTCACATGCTGTTGTGCAAATGGAATAGACAACAGGTGGAAATTATAGGCAATTAGCAAGACACCCCCAATAAAGGAGTGGTTCTGCAGGTGGTGACCACAGACCACTTCTCAGTTCCTATGCTTTCTGGCTGATGTTTTGGTCACTTTTGAATGCTGGCGGTGCTTTCATTCTATTGGTAGCATGAGACGGAGTCTACAACCCACACAAGTGGCTCAGGTAGTGCAGCTCATCCAGGATGGCACATCAATGCGAGCTGTGGCAAGAAGGTTTGCTGTGTCTGTCAGTGTAGTGTCCAGTGCATTGAGGCGCTACCAGGAGACAGGCCAGTACATCAGGAGACGTGGAGGAGGCCGTAGGAGGGCAACAACCCAGCAGCAGGACCGCTACCCCCGCCTTTGTGCAAGGAGGAACAGGAGGAGCACTGCCAGAGCCCTGCAAAATGACCTCCAGCAGGCCACAAATGTGCATGTGCTCAAACGGTCAGAAACAGACTCCATGAGGGTGGTATGAGGGCCCGACATCCACAGGTGGGGGTTGTGCTTACAGCCCAACACCGTGCAGGACGTTTGGCATTTGCCAGAGAACACCAAGATTGGCAAATTCGCCACTGGCGCCCTGTGCTCTTCACAGATGAAAGCAGGTTCACACTGAGCACATGTGACAGACGTGACAGAGTCTGGAGACGCCGCAGAGAACGTTCTGCTGCCTGCAACATCCTCCAGCATGACCGGTTTGGCAGTGGGTCAGTAATGGTGTGGGGTGGCATTTCTTTGGGGGGCCGCACAGCCCTCCATGTGCTCGCCAGAGGTAGCCTGACTGCCATTAGGTACCGAGATGAGATCTTCAGACCCATTGTGAGACCATATGCTGGTGCGGTTGGCCCTGGGTTCCTCCTAATGCAAGACAATGCTAGACCTCATGTGGCTGGAGTGTGTCAGCAGTTCCTGCAAGATGAAGGCATTGATGCTATGGACTGGCCCGCCCGTTCCCCAGACCTGAATCCAATTGAGCACATCTGGGACATCATGTCTCGCTCCATCCACCAACGCCACGTTGCACCACAGACTGTC